ACAGTGCTATAAGTGGTGTGTGTAGATACTGGTGGGATCCCTGCTTTTGCTGTTGTATTGAAGACAGTTTTCCTCTGCGGCAGATTTGAGTCCCTTGCTTCCAGAGTCACTTCCCTCTGGTGCTGGTATAGGATGTCCTGAGCTGCAGGAAAAATACAGGTTGCATTTCTACTCCTCTATGGACATCAGTATCTTTGGAATAGTCTGTTGCAAAGGCCATCCATGATAAAAAGCCAAAATAAATGCTAAAAAGTGTTTATTCAAAACTTCACAAGTTCCTGAAATAACTGAAATTTTCCAAGACCCATTTTTGGATATTCACATCTTAAATGAACTTGGTGTAGGTATGGTTTGGGCCGAGTTTACAAAGCATCGGCGTGGATTTCTTATCTCAATTATCTGAATCTTTTCTAGGCTAAGTGATATAGCACAGCTTATTACTTTTCTTAGAAGTATAACCTATACTTAGCATTGCATCCGAATTCAAGCCTCCTTCTGAACCTAATGAAAAACATAAATCTGGAAGCTCTTTAGCTTTTAGCAATGTGAATTTGCCTACACATAAAAATGTCAGTGAAACATTTATTTTCACTTTGATTCTGCTTGTATGTTCATGTGCCTTGCAGATAGGTATGTTTGATTTTGTTGATATATATATGTGTATTTGTGTATATCTGTATACTTGTTATTGGATGGGCATGCAAATAAACTGAGCTTCATAGTAGTATGTATACAAAAGCATGTGTGATCGTGTCAAGGCTTTGGATGTGAAAACACTAACTCCATGTGGTCATATTCTGTGATAAGGTTAAATACACAGTCCCGGTTTGCTGAGCACTTGCTGCGTTGCACAGGAGATGGTTCCTTACCTCTAAATTTCTGTGAAAGGGCAGGCTTTTCTGCAATTCAAACTATCTTATAATAAAAGTGATACATTCAAAATCAGTAGTCCTTAAAGTGTTGAAATGAGTTCTAGGAAATGCTCTTTTTGCACGGGAAAGATGCAGGATATCATCCACTTAAATCTGCTATGAGTGCCAGGCAGAACGGCCTGGTACAGAGAGGGCTAAAAATCCCTTTGTGTGCCCTGGTGCCATCTCTGCCCTTCCCCTAGTAAATCTGTGCTGTTTGGCTACTGCCTGTTTAGGTGTGCTAGCTTTGGTATTTAAAATATTTGTTCCTCTGTATTTCTTGGATATTTAAAACATCAGTGAAGGATGAAAGACAATCTTTCGTCCTTGTCTGCGGGGTGTTGGGTGGATTATTGTCTTCTAAACAATAGAGCAAACATTTAAACATTAGAATGGTCTCCTCCCCACCCCCCCCAATACAGAGCATTGCATTGCCTGTGGTGTGTCAGCAAGCCTGGCACTGCACCCAACACTTTTTTTTTTTTTCAGGCCCATGGCCAATGCTTTCAAAATGCTGCAGCTGTAAATAAGCTTAGGGTTCCTGCTCTGCAGGAAAAACCAACCTCCCTCTGAAGTCATGGGCTGTGGGCTGAGTAAAGCTGAAAGAAGCAATTCCCGAATTGCTCGTGGCAGCGTAAGGAGCTGCCCACAGGATGTGGAAAGGGGGAAGAGGGTTTTGGGGGTAAGAACTTTGGAGCCTGCATGTATGTGGCATTACGGAGCGAGACTCTTGGATCCGACTTCTGGGAAAATCATCTCGTGTCTCAATCTGTTGTCCACTGGAGCCAGCCCTTGAGGCGTTACTCGGGCAGGCTCTGCCCTCCCGCGGCTGTGAAGCTCCTTAAGGGGAGAAAGCATGGAGCCAGTTGTGCACCCATCCTGCCCTTGCAAATGAGCCAGCGTGTGTCCTGGCTGTTGTATGGAGGAGTTTGCTGCTGTAAGGGTTGTCTGTAAGCAGACGCTCTCCTTTAGTACTCAGTTAAGTGAGACTTAAACTGAGGAGTGGGGACAAATGTTAAAAGCTCTAGGAGCAAAATCTCATTTCTTCGACCTGATTTACGCCAATATAAGAGAACCTCAGAGGGTGTTTATTCTTCATTGAATGATAAAACATTTAACCTAGAAGGCGGTTGGATATGTTTTCTAGTGCCTTTTTCTTTCCAAGGCATATACTGTAAATTCCAGCACACATCTAGAGGTAAGTCTCCATTTCATCACTGCTGGCTACAGTGAGACCCTACACAAACTATTGAAAGGCATAAGGTTTGTTGACATGGAGCTCTTTTTGGATTTTGCGTGGGTAGTTTCCGTAAGTGGCCCTATGCTGGGTACTTTCATGAAGCTGGGGTTTAAGCTTCCTTTTGATAGTGTACAGGCATAGACAACTGGAAAGAAAATAAAGTGAGCGTTTTGTCTTAGAATACCTGCAAAACTTGCAGGCTTTCCTTGTGAGTTTGTGGGCATTATTAATGAACTGATAAGGAATAAAGGGACTTTTTAAAATAAAAAGATAGACGTGCCATATGGAAGTACGCAATGTGTGCGACAACCTGGTTATCAGTTCAAGGGTGAATCAGCTCCAAATTATCTCCAATTGCATGATTGAAAAAACAAAGGGTGCTTTAGAAATTTGCAGTCACTATCTCACTGAATGTCTCCCTGATCTTGCTCCCGTTTAGAAGCTGAGCTTATAAGCACAGGGCTTGCTCTTAAATCAAATCCAGAGCATGTTTGCTGGGGCAGCAAGAACAGACCAAGGTGTGAGCTCGCCTAAAACCAGTTTGTCCAAGCTAGAGTGGAATGAAAACAATGCTTGTTATGCTCCCTGAAAAGGCGACTTATAAATCCTGATCGAGGCTTTTAACGTAAAGCTACACTTTAAAATGTAGAATACCTTGTGAGGCGTGCACAAAACCTCAGTGCTTTGCTGGCACAGGGCTTTGAAAATGTTGTAAATGTTATGTGAATGCTCACTATTGTGGTGCTTAAATTAAACTTATTGATCGGTCATCTAGGGAGTGTCAGCGTGTTAATGAAGGCAGCCCGCAGCAATGTGGGCTGTAGGAGAAAGCAGGCGTTCGTCTTAGGCAGAATGTATAATTGTATTTGGCAGATGAAGCTCTGAGACTAGTGAATCCAGTGATAAACTGGACTCATTTTCCCTTTAAAGAAAGAAGCTGATGTGGCTGAAAAGGAGCTTTCACTCTTATCGATTCAGGCAGAGATCCCTGTAGGGGAGGAGAACTTAATCCTTTGCAAGACTCCACCTGTCTTGAAATTCTAGGTGTGCGTGCACATAGTAGATGTTCTCTTTTATAGAACTGCTTGGCAAGTATTGGTTAAATATCAGAAGCTCAGGAGCTGAGGGATGGTCGTGCTAACAACTCAGAGGGTGATCTGAGAATGGGAGCAGGAGCAGAATGAATTTTCTAAAACCAGAGTTGGTCCTGCAGAAACAGGAAAAGCTGAGGAAGTGTCATTTTTCCTGGGTTGTTTGGTTTTTTGGTTGCTTCTGGTTTTTTTTTTTCACTTAAAGGTAAAAGAAAGGTTAAAGATCCACTATTTAAATAGAAGTATAAGAACAAATTTAACCTATGTAACTAGAGCTGCTTATGCTCTTGTTGGTAATCTTGCTATGTAATCACAGGATTGTGTGTTCAATCGCATGTGTGATTTCCTAGTGCTGCCAACTCTCTCTGTTTTCATCAGTTTTGCAAAGATTGTCCAAGAAGCAATGTATTTCATCGCACTTCATTTCATGGGGGAGGGGGGGAAATGCTTTTAGGCTTTTTTCTTTCACAGCAAAACTTACGAACAACCCAGTTGTGCTCTGAAGATTCACACACAAAAGGCAGATGGCATTTGTGCCCTAAATTTCCAGGGATGGGGCCTACGCTATCTCTCTGGCAGGGGTTGCCCGGAGAGGGGGTGGAGGCCCCATCCCTGGGAACATTCCAGGCCAGGTTGGCCGGGGCTGTGAGCAACCTGATGTGGTTCAAGGTGTCCCTGCTCCTGCAGGGGGATTGGGCTGGGTGCCCTCTGGGGGTCCCTTCCCACCCAAAACATTCTATGATTCTAAAAATCCCCGTGGAAACGTGGTTGGGAAATTTTTTATTTGGTGTCACAGCAGACTTGGGGGTCCCTGACCTAAATGGCCGTAATTTTCCATACCTCTGATCTTTTGGGTCAGTTTTAATTGAGTTTGAGCTTACTGTGGTGAGTCCATGCGTTATCAAAAGTTGGAGATGGGCAAAGCCAAGAGTCGACCCCGATTTTGTTCACTTTTAGCAGGGATGCAGAGTACAGAAAGACACTCAGAAAGAAATTGCGAGTTTCGCAGTGGCTAAGGCTGCCTGAACATCGCTGTCTTTCTGCGGGGCAGTGTCTCCTGGTCCAGGTTTTAGGGAGTTAGCGGTGGGTTTGGCTTTTACTGGCTAACATTTGGAAGGCTCTGCTTCCCTCTAGTGGTTCAGCTTGGCAATTTAGTCCTTTTTTTTTAATTTTTTAAAGCCTGACAAACCGTTTTTGACAACTTATGGGGTTTTTTGACGTTGCTATTCAAAGACACTTCGCTAGCCCGTTTGTACCATGCCTTTCTTAAGGTTAACCCTCTTTTTCCCAGGCTGGCTTCTTGTTTCCAGTGCCGAAATGCAGGCAACGAGCATCATCCAATGTTAGGGGACAGTCCAGGCCTTGCCTGACACAGGACTAAAATGATGGGCTCTGAAGGTCTTTTAGGTGGAAAATATTGCTTATGAATTAAGGTAACAAACAGTGAAGGCCAAACCAAGGAGGTTCTCTGAAATTTTGAGCGCATAGAGGATGTGGGTGCAACTTTAGTATTGACAGCTCTGGAGTGCGAAGCCATCTGTTCTTTGTGCTTAAATATTAGTGTGAATCTAACTGCCTGTGTATGTATAGATGTCCCCTTTAATCAGCTGCAATCTGTCCAGGAAGCCAAGCTGTTTGGTTTTCTTTGATGCTGTGAAGCAAATGAGAAGAATCCAGCGAAACCGAAGCTCACGATGCTTGTCAGTGCAGAGATGCATCCTTAATCCTGGCCTCTGACCGCTGGCGTCTGTCTTTCAGCTTCCTGTTCTGTTTGGCTGTCCGAGGCTCAGACTGAATTTAAGAGAGTGGCTGAAGAAAACGTAACTTTGCCCTGCCACCACCGCCTGGGCCTCCTGGAGCAAGGGAGCCTGGATATTGAGTGGCTGCTGCACATTTCCGAAACAGTACAAAAAGCGGTAGGTTCAGCCACCGTTAGCACCTGCTGAGAAAGGCGTCTGACTTCCATATTGACATCAGCAGCAGCCGTTGATTTAAACAAACTTCTGTGATGATCTTTGCAAGTTATTCGGATGAAGTAAGCAGTGTTTAGAAAACACAGCTGATTTATTTAGAGACATTTATAATGGATAATTTGATATTCACGCAGGCTGTATCGGAGCGGGGTTGTGTTACGATCAAGTTTTATTTAAACTAACACTCTTATATAATCAGTCATCGTTGGATAAACTTCAGAATTGCCCTTCAGGCTTTCAAAAATGACCTTGGATTTCATAGACTGCTTTTGAAACTTTGGTTTTGGGAAAAAATACAGTCGTTTAGTACTTAGAAAAAGCAGGCCTGCAGTAATTTAAATTAGCTAGCCAACACCAGCCAAAATTAAAGACTGCTTTTATATATTATGGTTATAAGTTGATGTCTATTTTGACACTAGGATAAATACTTCAGTGTAAATCTCTAGCATAAATACAGTGCGTGTATCAGTCTCAGAATTGAAATCCAGGTTTAATTTTCCACCCTGCCACAGGCTTCCTGTGTGTGACCCTTGGCAAGTCACTTAACCACGCACAGCCTTAGCCTGCAGTTTCTGAAAATGCTTTGGTTTGTTGTTTGGTGTGAAAGTAAAATTACAGCTGGCTGATCGGTGACTGCCTTTGCTCCTCAGGTGATCACTTACTCTGGAGGCCGTGTTTACGATGACCTGAATGAGGAACAGAAAGGGCGCGTTTCCTTCACATCCAACTTCCTTGCTGGAGATGCATCCTTACAAATCATATCCCTGCAGTCCAGCGATGCGGGGAAGTACATATGTAAGGTTAAAAATGCCGGGCAGTATGAATGGGCTCGCATCACCCTGAAGGTTGTAGGTAAGGACATTTTATTGCTCTTCCAAAGAAAAAAAAAAAATCGCTAGGCTCACTTCCCCTAGAGAGATTTATTTCAGCAGGGTATAAATACAAAGACATCTCACGATCAGGTTTCATTCCTGTCCAACTCCATACCTGCCTTTGCATTTTTTGGCAAAGGACGGGACACGGGAAGAGCCTAAAGAACTGTTTTGAGAGAAGTATAATCACCTGCAAAATCATATGAACTGTTCTTTCCAAATTATCTCTATGATCTCATCACACAAACTAGACTGATATTCTAGCTTCGCTGGTGGTCGCCCTGTCTAGAGCTCCTGCTGAGGACTCTGGGTTCATGTCCCAGGACCCCAAACTGATCCAAGTCGGTGGAGGTGATAAATAAGCTGCTGGGTTTAGTGTTTCTCTTCCCCGATTTCAGTTTATTGGTTAGCTTTTTCGTGTACACTATCATTCCGTGGAAGAAGTGCTGTGGCCTGACAGATGCTGTGGGGAGAAGGAAGAAATGGAGAAGTAGGGGGAGGGAAAGGATGTTCTCGAAATAGTACCTAGAAGAGGAACGCAGCGATACAGCTCCACTGATGCAAGTATCCATGAGGCAGACTGCCCCGGAATACTATAACGTGTCATTTCTGTGTCTGAGCCAGCCAGCTATGCTTCTTGGACTATAAAGTTGCAAACAGTGGCGGCTAAAGTCCCCTAACAAACATGACGGGTGTAACTCCTTAATGCATTCTACACTAAGGCAGCTCTTGGAAGCTGCTGAAAGGACATGCATTGCCAAAGAAAGGGTTTTCCACTGCAAAAACAGTCTGTTGCCTTTGCATAACCAGTCTTCTGTTTCTCCTAGAAAAACCATCCAAGCCCAAATGCTGGCTAGAAGGGGAGCTGTTGGAAGGAAAGGAGCTGTCCTTGCAGTGCCGTTCCGCCTCTGGCACTGCACCCATCTCCTACCGGTGGCAGCGCATAAATGAGGAAGACGCGAGAGCTGAGCATCTCCCGCCTACATCAAGAGTCAGTAAGTCAGGTCATTTCCTCTTAGAGCCCTCGGTACACTCAAAGCCAGATAACCACCCACGCATACGTGCACATGTGCAGTCATGTGCCTGCTTTTTAAACGGGGATCGCTTGATGGCAGCAATAGCAATGATACCAGTACCTCTCGCTGCTGCAGCTGGACCTTGTGCTGTGCTCCACCCTGAACGAGGAAGCACGTGAGGAGTTTTAGTGTGTTGCTGAAGGTTGACAAATGATCTCTTGTGAGGCATCATCGATTGTTCTTGAACTGACTCGATCTGGAAGTTCAATTTGTCCTTCTGCATCCTATCCACTGTTAAGGTTTTAGTCTTTTTCGATTAATCTTGGTGTTGCTCCTCCTGTTTCAGACATTTCTAATCCTGGGCAAGTTCTACTGAAGAATCTTACGCAGATGAGCACAGGGTTATACCAATGCATTGCCACCAACGAGGCTGGACAAGAAAGCTGTGACGTTCAGGTGACAGTGCAGCGTAAGTATTGGCATATAACTGGTTTTCGCAGCACCGTGTGAGCAGCGCTGTTTCCCAGCTGCCCCATCTCAACTGGTAAACTCTGTGCCACACCTTTGTCCTTTCATACATGAATCACATGCAGTAGCTCTTATTTATTGCACTTACAGTTTGCTCAGCAGTCCTCCGCATAACCTGAAGTGGTGAATACTTCATTTGACCTCAGATGGTTTGGTCTGTTAGAAATTTGGATTTTGAGAATGACTAATGAAATATGAGGGGAAAAAAATGGTGAGTTAGAGGTTCTGGAGTCTCCAGCTTTGAGATGTATTTCTGGCTGGAGTAATTGCATGAGATGACTCTCAAGGATAAAATCTCCATGTGAGTAGTCCTTCGTTCCAATTCCTAATTACTTCTCTGTTGCACTCGAGACAGTAAACCATCTAAAGGCAGCTGGAAAGGCTGACTTTGACATGAAGTGATGTGCAGAAAAGCAACTTTTGACACGGTTTGGTTTTAATCCAGATTTAATAAACAGTCCTGAACACCAGAGATTAAAATCAGTGTCCCACCTGAATTAACCTCATCAAGGGTGTGTGAATGTCTAGGTGTCTGTGCCTTTGTATGTATATGCAAGGGAAAGATTGGCATTTAGCACCAGCCCTGAGGACAAACCCAAACAATACAGTTTAGGAGGTTTTTATGTGCAGCTCTCGGGAGAGATCAGCAGGAGCTGGAACTGCTGTGATAAAAGGCTGCTAATAGTGAAGTCTCTTCTGTGGAAATGCCATGGTTTTGGAATTTTTTCTGCCCAGCCAGGCCTGAAATAACTGGAGTATGGTCATATAGCAAGGAAAACCTGTTCGCCTCAGGCATCCGAAGTAAAAGCATCCAGGAAGCTTTTATGTCAATTGAACTGAATTGGTTTAAAACCTCACTTTGGTTTGCTAAACCCTCCATAGGGACGAGCCTTGAGGAAACAACTTTCAGCCAAACCCAACCTAACCACTCTTATCAAAAGAAGTTGTCATAAAGTATCAACTAAGGGCCTGTATACACTAGGAAGTGTTCTCATTAACTTGGTTATTTTGGATGAAAAATGCCTTGCACCTGCACAGTACAGGCTTCCTTTCCTCCTTCCTCTCTACCCCCCTTGGGTCGTTTTTTTTCCCCAATTGAAGAATTCATTCTGTAAGTGGATTGTAATCATTTCAGAGTGAGTTGAAGGGGAAAAAAAACCCCTCATGTAGTTCAAACACTCTTCTGCCTCTAGGAAACTGCTTGGTGCTTTGTTTCACATGTGGGTTGTCCCGTCTGTCTCTGCTTTCGGTGGTTCTGTGCTCTTACGAGAGGATTTTTCCTCCTCGTTTCAATTCTGACCCCTAGCTGAAGGCATAGCTCTTGCGATCCCACCCTTCCACCCTTCACTGTTGGCTCAGGTTTAGAAGCAATGCCTGAAGATAAAATGGTTCAACCTCTGTATGGAGAAAGGCCAAAATAAGTAGACTAACACGTTCCGTTCTGATTTATACCCAGTGCTATAAATTGTAGTGTGGACTAGCATGGGATCATATGACTCTAGTGAGAGTTTACAGACCAACCCGTTTGTTTTCTGGACAACAGATGCACAAAATATCGGCATGATTGCTGGAGCGGTTTGTGGCGTGGTGGTGGGACTTTCCCTCCTTTTCGTGGTGGTGAAGCTGACAATAAGGAGGAAAGAAAAGAAGAGATATGAGGAAGAGGAGGCACCAAATGAAATCAGGTAACGCCTCCTGTTTAACCCCCTGCCCTCCCTTCTTTCAGTTTCACACATCTTTTTCACTACAGTTTTAAGTCATCTAGGTATAAGCATCTTAAAAGGTTGTCATAAAAAGATTTTAAAGTCTCCCTGAAATATCAGTGACAAATTTTTTGACTGTGAGAATCATCTTTATGAAGACTTTCCAGAAAATTAGATAGATGAAAATGTCTTCTCCCTGCCCCCCCCCCCCCCCCCCTTCCCCCTTTGGTTTTTGGTGGGTGGGTGG